CGAACGAGGAGTTTCTTCATGACCAAATCATCTTAAAAAATGTAAACTTTTAGTAAAAGCCGGCTATTGATTCTTATGAGACAAAATGGTGATCGTGACCTGCTCAGTGCCGTCATGCGAATTTCGTAGTGACGATGTATCGGAAGCCCTAGCCATCGCCATCCTCACCAATCATGGCCTAGCTCACCAATCCAGATCGGAGACTGCTCGCGCGCCCGTCAGACAAGGACCAAAGCTCGAGCGCCCGAGAGTGGATGTTGGCGTCACCACCGAAGAATGGAACGTGTTTGTTCGGCGGTGGGATGTCTTCCGGACAGGGTCTGGGATAGATGACGCATCAGCGCCATCGCAACTCTTCCAATGTGCCAGTACCGAGCTTGGCGACAGCATGCTGAAAGCAAATGCTTCAGTCGTGAATGGGTCGCTGTCCGATGTGCTCGAGTGCATGCGGTGTCTAGCAGTGATCCCTGTCGCTCTTGGAGTCTTGCGCTCAGAACTGCTGCAACTGCGACAGGAGCGCGACGAACCTTTCAGATCGTTCGCTGCGAAGGTACGCGGTAAGGCTGAAACGTGTAACTTCAAGGCTGACTGCAAATGCGAGCGTCAGGTGGACTATACCGATCACGTGATCCGGGACGTCCTTCTGAACGGAATATCGGACTGCGACATTCGGCGCGAGGTGATAGGCGATCGCACAATTCACTCAATGGCCGTAAATGACGTCATCGCGCTGGTGGAAACCAAAGAAATGGCCCGCAACGCTCTTCCCCCGTCGATGTCAGCGGTATCGACCCTCCGACGGCAGCGCAGTGCCCCAGGGCCTCAGGTGTCGACACCTGTCCCATCTGCTGCAGATCGGACGAGACAGGTCAACTGTCCAGACTGCAACAAACGCTATTGCGTGTTCACTGAAGGCCCTCGTGGGTGGAACGCAAAACCTCACCCTCGTTGTCTGGATTGTTTCCGTGCAAAACGTCGAGATAAACGCTCACCGACGGCCCAGCCTCAGACTGAGCTTGCCGCACAGACGGTAGAGACCGACACGGTCTCTCAGATGACCACTGAAGAAGCCTGCTCAGTGGGCCGGGAAGCACAAAAAACAGGACGGAAGAAACCTTCACACCGGAAGAACACTGTCAATAGCTGCAGAGATGCTACCTGAGCGGTACTTAGGTAAATGGGGCACGTGCTAATTACTGAACAGTGCTAATTAGTTTAGGTGCCATCCTATTGTTACTAACGGGCATTTAAGATGATTTGGTCATCGTTCTAATACATGTTTCACGAACGAGGAGTTTCTTCAGTAATATTGATTAAAATCATGATTTTATGGTGCCATTATATAGCATATAGCACCATTTGGTGTTCGTTGGTTGCGGACCCACGGACTGGGCCACTGCCCAGTAAGTGGTTCGTTGTTTGGAATTCTTTCATGTTTGCTTCATATAGTTTGCATGAGACTTACGCCAACCTAATAACAGATATGTGGCCGAAAATATTGTGTTCATTTTTAATTAAATACTGAGTTAGAGTACTTCGTTTGTCATGTGACATCCGTGGCGGGTCGAAGACGAGATTTGGCGCTCACTTTCAACCTGGTTGTCTGATCTTGCAAGCCCCTTTTATCGACTATCTTGATCACTGCGCTGCTGTGCAAGGTATTTTCTTTCATGGGCCGGGAGAACAGCATCGCTGGACGACAATTTCGGATTAAATGACTACGTTAATGATGTTCTCTTTTATATCATTTTTGAAGCACGCAAGCAAATCTCATGCTGTTTTGAATTTCAAGAACGTGACGTTTTGAGCTAGACACCTTAGATTATTCGGAACATGTCTCGATCACCCAACAGTACTTCAAAACTGAGGAGTTCGATGCATGAAAACATTCGATAAAATGAATCTGACTTTCTGCCTGCACTGCTATTAGCGTTATGAGCGACGAAACACTTATCTCACCAGAGGATGGACGCGCAACAATGGGTGGAAGCACACCTCGCTGTTGCAAGTGCGTATCTAACCCGTGTAGAACCTGCCGCTGCGTGAAACTGGGAAGACGGTGTGCCACCTGTCGATTCGGAGACAACTGTCCGAATTCAGTACCAAAGCTCACACAATTATGCGACATTGCTACAGAAATCGCTACTTTGAAGCAAAACAGTCGGGTTCTACCGCACATCCCAAAAGGAGCGCGTATCGCGGTAGCAGACGAGCTTGCTCACCTTATCAACGACGCTGTCGAACAGGGCACTGAGGAAGCGTGGCGCAGGCTCACGTGCTTTGGATACTCTACGCTCAGTATCAACAGAGAAGCGCGAACAGCAGAAAAGACCTCTTTGGCCACACAAGTGCGCCTAAACCTATCACAGAACAGTGACACCAACAAGGTCCGTCCTTCCAAACCATCCAAACGCTCACATGCACATCGCCCGGTGGGCGAGATGACAGCGATGTCACGACGCGTGGCCTCGAAACTGACGGACGGCGATACCCGGGGAGCGCTACGAGCTCTGACCTCAGATGACTCCTTCGCATCTCCAACAGAAGAAGTCATCAAAAGGATGCAAGAAAAGCACCCAGAACCGCCCACTGACCTGCGAAACGTTCCGCTACCTGACGACATCCACGTGCCGTTAGTGGCTTCCGAGGCCGACGTTTTGAAGGCGATCAACTCCTTTCCGCCGAGCTCCAGTGCAGGTTTGGATGGGATTCGCCCCGCCCACCTGCGCTCCCTCCTCACTAAACACACCGCCGAGGCTGGAGCTCGCCTACTCACAGCTCTGACAGCGCTCACGAACTTGGCGCTCAGCGGCCGTCTTCCGGAATGCGCAACACCAGCTTTCTTTGGCGCGTCGCTGATTGCTCTTCGAAAGAAGGACGGCGGCCTGCGTCCCATCGCTGTCGGCAGTGAGTATCGCCGAATCGCAGGCAAGGTCGCCGCCACGGCCGTCTCGGCGGCCATCGGAGCTCAGCTGCGACCAGTACAGCTTGGTGTGGCCACGAGGAACGGCTGCGAGGCGGCAGTATACGCCACCAGAGCATACATCGACGAATGCGAAGCGTCCGAAAACAGCAGAGTTATCGTGAAGCTGGACATCTCCAATGCCTTCAACACCGTGCGCAGAGATGCGATGCTGGAAGCTGTGAAAAGTCGTGCGCCAGAGATATACCCGTTTGTATGGCAGGGCTACAACAACGCCGCGCCACTTTTCATCGGCGACAGTAAAATCCTTTCTCAGACAGGAGTCCAGCAAGGCGATCCGTTGAGCTCCCTGCTGTTCTCTCTGACAGTGGATTCTGCCACCAGGGCTCCAGACACAGAAATAAACACCTGGTACCTGGATGATGGAACGCTGGCTGGCCCACCATCTGACGTCATCTCCAGTATCAAACAAGTGAAGGCAGAAATGAGCGAAGTGGGGCTCGCCATAAACGCAGGCAAGTGTGAAGTCACCTTCCTGGGAGGCTTCACCGACGATACCAAGCTCAGCGCCCTGCACATGCTGCAAAGTGTTCTTCCCGACATCCGGGAAGTCCCCGTGGATGAGTTAGAGCTGCTTGGTGCGCCTGTACATGACGCTCAAACAAGACGTGCGCTTCTACAAGGCCAGCTCCTGGTAGAGAAGCTTATCAAGCGCCTTCAGGCTCTGGACGAGGCACATCAGGCGTTCTTCCTACTGAAGAACTACGTGTCCCTTCCTCGCCTGTTGTACCTTCTTCGAAGCTCTCCAGCCTACCGCCACCCCGCCCTGCTCAACAGGATTGACGAAGCAGTTCGCCGTGGCATGGAAGTGATCACAAACGTCCAACTGCGTGACATTTCATGGCGACAAGCGACATTGCCAATCAGCCTCGGTGGGCTAGGCGTAAGGAGAGTAACAGACGTTGCCCTTCCTGCTCACCTCGCATCTCAAGTAGCATCCGCTGACACGATCGCATCCATTAACGGCTCCGCCGCTAATCGCGTCAGTGAGCTAACGAGGTGCTTGATCTCAGAGTGGGAGCGTCGCACAGGCTTGCCTCCACCGGAAGCGCACAGGCGGCGCTACCAAAGAGAATGGGATCGAGCTGAGACAGCAAGAATCAGTGAACGGCTGCTGGAAGACAGCAAAACCGATGTTGACCGAGCCCGACTCCGAGCTGCCGCACAACCACACTCTGGTGCCTGGCTGAACGCCTTCCCAGCCGCCAGCGTGGGCACGCTGCTCGACCCTGACACCCTGCGGACGGCCGTCGCCCTGCGGGTGGGAGCAGATATATGTGCTCCTCACCGCTGCCGCTGTGGAGCCGACTTTGACGAGCGAGGCCTGCACTGCCTGTGCTGCCAGATGAGTGCTGGCCGGTTCCCACGCCATGCGGAACTCAACAGCGTCATCAAGCGTGGACTATCAACCGCTGGAATGACGTCTGTTCTCGAGCCGGCCGGCTTAGACCGCGGAGACGGACGTCGCCCTGACGGCATGACGACCTTCCCCTATGCAGAAGGGAAGTGCCTCGTCTGGGACGCTACCTGCGTCGACACGTTCAGCGTTTCGTCAGTCAAGGCATCCGCGGCCCGTGCGAGCTCAGCTGCAACCGTCGCCGAGAGGCGTAAGCGCCATCGCTATGCCGACATAAGTCGACGCTATCTGTTCCGCCCTGTCGCCGTAGAGACATCCGGAGCGCTCGGCCCGGACAGTTACTCCTTCTTGAAGGAGCTCGGCCGCCGTATTGTGAAGACCACAGGAGACCGACGGGACTTTGAACGCCTCATGCAGCGCGTGTCTGTGGCGGTGGTGCGCGGCAACGCCACAGCCGTTCGACTTGCGAGCGTCAATGTAAGGCCGAGTCACAGAGCCAACATTGAGCCAAAATCACTTCCATGGCCACCCACAAACTCAACTGGCACCGAAGCAAAGCTCCCACCGGAGCTACCAACCACCACGTCTCCTACGACCAGACCAGCAGAACAGGAGATACTGGATCCATTGAACATGGGACTTCCCAACAATGGTATAAGCATGTGCCAGCACGTGGGCAAGAGCGTCAGTCTGGCTGACATTAAGCGGCAGCTGAAGTCGAACCGGCGGATCGGCGCCTGCGACAAGAAGGTGCCGACCCCGTGCACGGCACCCGCGGATGGGGAGGAGCGGTCGGTGCCGTCGGGCGCGCAGCTGCCGCACGGCGTCTGGCTGTGCATGCAGTGCGGCCACCAGGGTTGCGCGAGGCACGCCACGCAGCACTTTAACACGCCGCGCTCCGACTCGCACACGCTGGCCGTCAATGCCGCCGCCGACTGGGGCGTCTGGTGTTTCACATGTAACGAGAAAGTGTCACTGAAGAGTAATAAGAAACTTCACGAAGCTGTGCAGTTTGTCAAGAAAAGGCAGGGAACTCTACGTCCCGGGGCCACGCCATCCAAGGAGGACACTCCGCCTCCCAAGTCTTCCAAGGGCGCCTCCGCTAAGGAGAAACAGGCTCAAGCGGACTGTGATAACGAGTCACTTCCGAAGGTCAAGGGTCTGATCAACCTGGGCAACTCGTGTTACCTGAACTCGGTGCTGCAGTGTCTGAGCCAATGCCACTACCTGACGCACTACCTAGACATCAGCAGCCGCCCAGGACGAAAGGTCACAGTCAGCGCTGACGGCGAGACCATGGAGCTGGTGCTGCCGGAGGGCGGGCCCATCACCGCCTCGCTGTGCGACTTTCTCAAGAAGATGCACATCACGGGCACCGGCTCCACCGTCTCCCCCAGTCATCTGCTCAGAAAGATCGCCCTGAAGGTGCCCCAGTTTGTGGGCTGCGACCAACAGGACGCACACGAGCTGCTGCGAGCGCTCATGGAGCAGGCGCGGCTTGAGGATCTCCGGCGGCACCAGAAGCAGATCCTGCTCGGTCTGGGGCTGCCGGCCAAGGCCGACCCCAAGGAAGTACCCGACGACATGAAGGCGCGTGCCAAGGCGCTGGGCCACCAGGTATCGCATACGACCATCGACTCCATCTTCAGCGGCCAGCTGGTCAGCCTGGTGGTGTGTCAGGCCTGCATGGCCTGCACACACCGCATGGAGCCCTTCCTCGACCTCTCGCTGCCCGCCGCCGAAGATATCATCTTCAGCCTGCTGTCGGAGCTCGACCCGCCGCCGGCCTCGGTCAGTGGGGATTCGACGGAAGACGAGCTAAACGAACCGCCGGCCTCAGTCAGTCCGGACCCGCCGGCTGACGAGCCGCCCGCCTCGGTCAGCCCCGACCCGCCGGCTGACGAGCCGCCTGCCTCGGTCAGCCCCGACCCGCCGGCCGACCTGGCCGCGGAGGAGCTCTCGGAGCGGCTCAGCGCGCTGATTGTGGACAGCGCCGGCGCCGCGGCCGCTGCGGACTCGTGTGGGGACGAGCCGGGCCCGCTGACGGTGAACGGCCGGCCGTCGTCACCGGTGGAGGCGGACGCGGCGCCGGCCGGGCTGGTGCCACTGGTCGGGGAGAGTGCTGACAAAGCCCCGAACGGTGCGCCGGAGACGGCGGGAGCGGACCAGGTGGGGGAGAAGCAGAGCTCTGTACCGGCGGAGAACTGCGGAGAGGCTGTGGAGGCGCATGAGAACAGTCTGGGCGCTCCGAACGGTCACTGCGGAAGGGCAGCCGAGGAGGCCCCGCGGGAGGGCCAGTCGCCGTCACCCGGTGAGGTGCCGGGCGGTGTGCCGACGGAGGCAGTGGCGAACGGCCAGAGCTCAACGACAGGGGTGGCGGACGGCGGCGAACTCCAGTCTGCGCCGAACGGCGGGACCTGCGCGCCAACCGAGTCTGCCCCGGCCGAAGGGACGGGGACCCCCTCACCGGCGGCTGAGCCCTCGGACGGCCCGCCGCCGCCGCTGAGCCGCTGTGAGTGGCTCAGTCGAGCGCTGACCACCCTGGCGCCGCGCTACCAGGCGGCCGCTGGCGAGTGCAGCCTGCTCACCTGCCTTAACCAGTACACGGCGCCCGAGCTGCTCACCGGCAACAACAAGCTCGGTTGCGACAACTGCACCGAGCTGCGCAACAAACGGCTCACGGCGGCTGAAAAAGCAGCTGAGAAGAAACTCGGCACAGTATACAGCAACGCCAGCAAGCAGCTGCTCATCTACAGTCCGCCGCCGGTGCTGACCATCCACCTGAAGCGGTTCGAGGTGTGCAGCTTCAGCCTGCGGAAGATGAACCGGCACGTGCAGTTCGGCGAGCGGCTCGATCTGGCCCCCTTCTGTTCCTCCATCAGCCAGGACCTGCCTCAGATGCGGGCCGGCCAGCGGCGGGTGCTCTACTCGCTGTTTGGTGTCGTTGAGCACAGCGGTCGACTGACCAGCGGCCACTACACAGCCTACGTGCGCGTGCGCCGCCGTCACGACCAGCTCACCGTCAACCCTGCGCGACTCACCACACTCGTCACCGACGCGTTCGCCGTGGCGTGTGAGCGGGCGAGGCAGCGCGCCGAGCAGACCCGACCGGAGACCACGGACGGACCGTCCCCGGTCAGGCCCGCAGAGGAGGGCCGGGAAGACGGGGAGGGCGAGGACCCCGCCGCCGCGCCACAGGAGTCACAGACGGATCAAAAACAGCCCGCCCCGGAGCCCGAGACGGAGCCGGAGCCGCAGCCGGAGGCCGGGCGGTGGTTTTACGTGAGTGACACGCACGTCACAGAGGTGACTCTGGACAAGGTGCTCAAGGCGCAAGCTTACATGCTGTTCTATGAGCGAATTGTGTAAGCGACTGCGGTAGCTTGGGATGGTGCTCTGTGCACGGGGCTGTGACGGCGCGCGAATCGTGTCCCTCAGTCTGACCGAGGTGTGATTTCGGAAAGGTCGTTTTTGAATTTGCTTTAATGTGTGTTCATATTATATAGCTGACAGTCATAAGAAATATATTTCAACTCGAAAACAGCTCGAAATAGCATATCATTTTAAAGAAACGAAACCCCTCCGAAATCCAAAAGCCTATTCGGGTCCATAGAGAAAAACTGTGGTCCCCCACAATTTCGTCACGAGCGTCGGACCAATCAGCGTCGAGTACTGCTGAGCGCTGATTGGTGAATTTTCCGCTAGCGTGTAAGTACCGCTCGCGGAACAAGAGTTCGTCGACAATCCTCCACAAACGTCTGTCACCATTTTTCGTAATGCTAAACAGCCGGAGCGTACCCCCCTGAGTGCAACATCAAAAGGTTTGCACGTGCACAGCACGTGCACCGTGTACCCCAGCACGCTTATTTGTACAGCACCTTAAAGCGCGTGTCCAGTAGTGTCAGTGTGCCAAATTTGGTGTGCCTAGGTCAAGGTTTTCCGGAATCGGAGGATGCCTCCTCAAAACATGTTTTTCGCCACTAGCGCGTGCATTCCGCACCCCCTGATGCCGAGCATACCATATGTTAGTGGTCGAACACTGGGACATGTGACCTGTGAGTTTAGCACCTGTGCCGCCCTTCGTTTGATTTGAGGCGTCGCTTAAAGGTTTTTGCCCTTTGTAAGTTTGTTGGCACGTGGCACGCGCCATGTGACACCGGGTGACATGTGACATCCATCATCACCTGCCTCAAGGAATTACCCGTCGAACGGTACCACCAGCATCTCGATCCGATCATGCGTTTGGACGCAATTCTAATTGTATTGGCTCGATGACCTTCCAGAGCACGGTTTTTTGGCAACGTAAAATGGCGCCTCGTCGGCTTCACCTGAATGGAGGTGGTTACGGGTCCAGTTTATTTATACGTCCGTGGGGCTGGTTCAGCCGAACTTTTTTTCAGCGACCCACCAATGGGAATTTCCGGATGCAAAAGCATGCTATCGCATGCTTTTGATCCTCCAATTCTGGATTAACCGGCGAGGCGCGTGGCGTATATGAGTGAGCGATTGTAAGTGTGATGTGTATAATGTGCGTGAGAGAAAGGATCCGAGAGATTAATACTTTGTCCCGCAAGACCAAAATACAGTGTAATGGGAATGTGAGTCAAATCTTTGAATTGGGTGAAGGCAGATGCCGGGCTGATACACGGTGAACGTGAACGAACAATCGATACGGGCCGCTTAGTTTAATGCACCCGGGTGGCAGGCGGGCATTGTAGAGTAACTTTGTGTAACGTAATTTCTGTACATGGGGGGAACCAATAAAAGGTTGCCGGTTCCGATGCGTGAAACCCCTTCACCCGGAGCCGGAGCCGAAGCCGGAGCCGAAGTGAACAATATAAACCGGAGCCAGAGCCGGAGCGGGAGCTGTCAAAAACAGGGGCGCGGGAACTACTTTCAGACTGGGGGGGGGGGGGGGGGCACACCATGATAGAGATCAACCTAGGGTACCCCCAAATTTAGTTTTCTCGCCGGTTTTGCTCCTTTTTGAAGAGAAAACAATTATTTATTGACCTAGTTCGGTTTGTCAAACCGAACTGCCTTGAACTTGCAGTTCCAGGTGCAGTAAAACATGCTGTATTCAAAATATGAAAATGGCCTTGTTATGCAAATGCAGAAGCAACGTGCACCAATCCCGTCTTCTTTTTTCGGCCACCCGTATTTAATATGCCTACCTACTGAGCATTGGAGCCGGAGCCGCCGGAGCCGGACCATTTAACTCGGAGCCGGAGCCGGAGCCGCAATGGCATTTCACCCGGAGCCGGAGCCGGAGTCGGAGCCGTCTGAAATTTCCACCGCTCCGCATCCCTGGTTAGTGGTTAAAGGGACCCTTCCACCTTCAAAAAAGTTAATGAATATGCATGAAAGTGATGTCGCTCGTTCAGAAAGAGCAAAAACGAGAATATACCAAATTTCTCCGAAAAATATTCACCGGTTTTCAAGATATTAGACTTTTACTTTTGTTTACTTTTAGGGATCTCCGCTGTTCCTGCGACTTCATTTTGGAAGTGCGGCGTTTGCGGCAGATGTTGCGCGCAAATAGCATATATCCACCACTGCTTCACAAAGATATTAGTATAAAGTTTTAAAATCGTTGGATCACCGCTGACGTCACAAATTCTAAGGGGGCATCTCAATGCATTAGCCCCTTAGAATCCGAAAACTGCAAGTTTGAAATTCCATATCTCCGAATTAAAGCATTTTTCGATGCTGTGAGTGCCCAAACCGGTATTTGCAGGCCATGGCCACCAATTTGGCTATCTCAACTCAAAACTAATGTTAAGGTGGGATGGTCACTTTAAACTCGCGCCGTGCTGGGGGAAGGGCGTTTTAAACACACATTCGCCACCTGGCATCCCAAGGAATGCTATTCAGAAGTAATACAATCATTGAAACGTTTATTTTGTTCATGACGTGGACAATGATGAATGCATAAATTACACACAAACATCAAATAAATACAATAAATGAATCACTACTATTGTACTCCATGGGTGACCTTAGTTGTAGGCGGGCTGGTAGGCGGGCTTGCCGTAGGCAGGCTCGACGTAGGCGGTGTCCACCTCGGGGGTCGGGTACTCGGTGGGCACCGGGGTGGGCAGGATGTCGCTGGACGGCTGGTAGCCGTTGTCGTCGGCGACAAATGTCACCTTGACGGGGTTTCCGTATCCGTCGGTGTAGCTCCAGGAGCCCTCCTGGCGGTAGCTGCCCTCGGGCTGTCCGTAGGCGTTCTTGCCGTAGCCGGGCAGAGGCACGCCGTTCTCAGACCTGTACGGTAGAGAAAAACCTTAGTACTGCATGGCTAACTGGGTGACTTGGGTATGGAAACATTTATACCACGCCAGAGCAACGTGGCCGCCAATTTGTACCTAAATGTAAGCATATCCAGTACCTACTGACCTGTAGATGCCGTTCTCGGTGCTGAAGTGGAAGTTGTAGGTGCCATCTCCGGGGTGGACGCTCTCCTCCTCGAGGATGGCGATGGGCTTGTAGCTGCCGTGAGCCGGGGCCGGGTAGGCGGGCCGGGGGCCGTAGGCCGGGGTCGGGTACGCCGGCCGGTCGGCGGCGGCCACCAGCGCCAGAGCGGCAATGATGAACTGAAGGAAAATCATTCCATTGAATAGTGAATATGACGTTTCGTAATTTGTAGCTGAAGCGTACCAGCAATTAGGTACATATGAGTGTTTTATGTATAGCTACAACTTAAGAATGGTAATAAAACTGATTTAAAGGGACAGTACCATCGAAAAAAATCAATGTATGGAGCTGATTTTTTTTTTACTAGCATTTCTCATTTTTCTGAATCAGAAAAACATAGTTTGAGGACCGAACTCGGTGAAAAATATTTTTTCATGAGCGAGTCATTTTCATGAGCGAACCACCACTACAAGCATGGCCGCCACTTTGGAAGCCTGCGAAATTACTACAGAACTGGCGCAGATAATACATTATTGACGCTACGCTTACGCGGAAGCTCTTCTGAGGCCTGTTTCACTAAAAACTTGCGATTACAAGTGTTTGAACTTTACAATTCATAAGTATTTTTGCAAACTATGTAAAATCGGGTTTCACTAAACTTCATCACCAGCGGCACCTCCGATAAAAAGAGTTGGTAAATAAACTTGTAAACAATAAAATTGTTTTTAATCAAGAACTTTAACATGTTACAGATATTGCTTCTTTTTATCAAACTATGTCTAGCTTTCATGTCAGAAATTGCAGGAATAAATTAAAAATAATGATGCTGTTTCTGAGTGGTATAAATGATAGTTCACAATATCTTATTATTGAAAGAAAATAACACGTAAAACATTTGACAGCAGAAGACTGTTGAATGCAATTATGGCGCGCGAATGACAAAACATGACGATATTTATTTATTGCTCGTAGCTGGTTCGTAGGGAATGTGCTAAGTGAAAAAGAGCATATAATGACTCAGCATATCATATTTGTTTTAAATAATTGATTGCTTTGCATCATTGCACAAAAAGTATCAAAATTCCGAACGTCAGGACCACTGGAATTTCAGGTTTGTAATTACGATGTTTTCTTTCAAGTTTCTGGTCTTCGTGAAACAGAAAGTTTGCGATTCCCGTGTTTTCTAGCAAACTTTTTCTTGTAAAAAAGTTTGCAAATTTTAAACTCAAAATTCATGCCCGAAGGTTTCGTGAAATCCAAATTTCAAATGTTGGTAATTATTTCTTTTAAACTCAAGTTTTTTCTTTGTAATTACACACTTTATTTGTTAGTGAAACAGGCCTCTGATTGAGTTGTCGTTAGGGAAAGGCAGCATTAGGTATTGCCCAGAAGATATCACGTGACAAGCTGAAGGAATTCCTTCAAGCTGAAGGAATTCCTTTGTTGAGCCGCTAGAATCCGAAGGAAACAGCGGAAATTGCCTACGACTATTTAATGAATTTAACGGTGATGAATAAGTGCGAAAACGTTTTGGCTTTATAAAATTTGATGAAATGACCAGGGTAAAAGTTTTATTACTGGCGGTCAATTCAAAACGGCGCAAACATTTAAACAGTGAAGATAGTGAAGCACGATTCAAAGTGTAGTACACCTTTCTTACTTTGAGCGGCGATAGCGGGATAACGGTGTGGAGCTTCGAGGATCGGTCTTCAGTTCCCGGACCAGAAAGGTGGGGCCTATGCAATGTCAAATTTCATCAAAATGGTGATACTGTCCCTTTAAAGGGACCCTCCCAGCTTAACATTAGATTTGAGTTGAGATAGCCAAAATGGGGTCCCTGGCTCACAATTACCGGTTTCGGCACTCACAACATCGAGAAATGCCTTAAATCGGAAATATTGAATTTCAAAATTGCAGCATTTTGATTCAGAGGGGCTAATGCATAGGAATACCCCTCTGAATGTGTGACGTCAGCGCAGATATCTAACGATTTTTAAATGTTGGACTAAAACGTTTTGTAGCACGCGGTGGTAAATGCTGCTTTGCGCGCAACAAATGCCGCACTTTCAAATAAAGTCGCTAGGAACAGCGGAGATCCCAAAAAGTAAACAAAAGTAAAAGTCTAATATCTTGAAAACCGGTGAATATTTTTCAATGAAATTTGGTAGATATTCGTTTTCGCTCTTTCTGAACCGAGCGACATCACTTTCGTGCCAATTCATTAACTTTTTTGAAGGTGGGAGGGTCCCTTTAAGCACAACCTGATGCTAAACACGCTGCAAATAGTTTCATACTAAATCAAGGTTCTCAAGAAGCCCTACTCTGCAAAAAGGGCGCATACTTACGGCCTTCATGTTGCTGCGAACTGGTTGTGTGTTGAACTGGTGCCGCTAGCGGTGGTGGCCGCCGTTATATAGGAGTGCCTGCCCGCTGACCGACTGACCACACCCTCATGGTCAGCTCCGGTCCGCGACATTGTGCCAGCCCTACCGGAGGACGCGGATGACCGCAACACCGCGCGGTCAGACAGGCGTTGGCGGGTGCTCGTTTCAGGAGCGGCGTCTTGATCTATGGGCTCTTAATGAATTGGGCATTTGAGTAGCTTGTAGCTTTTTAAATCGCTAGGTATATGTATTAACACGCGCACCGACGGGGGGGGGGCGGATATCCGCCCCCCTGAGGTTTTTCGCGGATAGCGGAAAAAAACGCGGCGCGTAGCGCCGCGAAATTTGGTACGACTATTTTCTCATCAATTTTACACATGGTGTGCAATTTTGAACCCCCTAACTTTTAAGGTTAGGTCACCAGGTCACTTTGAATGACCCAACCTCAAGCCACTTTTTTGCAACTTTGTCACCGTGCCAGAGCTACAGTAGATGTCGGAGGCCTTTGAAAGTCGCAGGATGTGATTAGGTCATTACGAGCGAGCGAGCGCAGCGAGCGAAGCGAAGTCTTTTCAATATAACGGAAAAATCTCAGTATGAGCGGCCCGGCCCGGCCCGGCCCGGCCCGGCCTGTAACGCTTTTGAGAGGCTTATATCTCAGCAACCGCTGGACCGAATGGCCTGCGGTCTTTTTTGCTGGGTAGCCCCATCCCTTCTACCCCGTAATTGACTACTTTTGATACATCTCAGTGACCGCCGTGGCACGTGCCACGTGAAAAGTCAAGGGTGTTCAAGCAGTTTTGCAAAAGTAATGATTTTGAGAGGCCCGTATCTCAGCAGTGGCTTGAGCGATTGTCTTGCGGTCATTTTTATAGGGTAGCTGCATCCCTTCTACCAAAGTTCGGATACTCTTCATCTATGTGAGTGACCCCCACTGCACGTGCAAAATACAACAATAAGAGGTGCCAAATTTGTTCCCATTTCACTAACTCGGTAATTACTGGGGCGATTTCGCTGAAACTTGGCATACAGGTAGGCACCCACCAGGCAATGCATTCCCACGTGTTGCGGTTAGGGTGCTACTGCACGTGCGCACGTGCAGGGGGCGTTTCCAGATCTCGAGAACGGCTGGGCCGATTGCGCTCAAATTTGGTACACGGTTGGGGACCGGTTAGTAGGGTGCCGTGCAAAAGTTATTTTGGACCCCGTTTGCACGTGCGCACGTGCAGAATGCCGCTTCCAGATCTCAGGAACGGCTGTGCCGATTGCGTTCAAATTTGGTACACCGCTAGCGACCGGTTAGAAGGTCGCTTTGCACAAGCCCGTTAGAAGTACCCTCTCGCCCTTCTGCACGTGCAGGGCTCACTATCTCGCTCGCTCGTTCTTCGCCCAAAAGGCGTTTTACTGGTTAGTAGCTGCAATTTGTATATCTCGGAATTTTGGTGTCGGTGACCTAAGGTCAGGTCAATTTCGCGACCTCCCCATTATAAGTCAATGGGGGAAAAATCAACTCCCTGTTTTTACCACTAAAACGGGTCGGAATGGCCCCATATACCATACATGACTTCATATACGATCAACCTTCACTACCTTGAGGTCTGTTTTGCTGTTGGGCAGCTGTAAGGTCATGTGACGTCATCAAAGGTCACCAAAGGTTTTTTGCCAATAACTCCGTACAGGAACAAAATACAGCCGCGCGGACGGTCTCATTGTGTTCAGCTCGTCAAGACGCATCGAATGATATACATGATGACCTCGAGGTCACGTGACCTGAGGTCAACCTTTGACCTTGACCTTTCGAGGTCAACATATATATCATTCGATGCGGATTGACGAGAGGATCACGATGATGCCCTTAGTTTGCTCCTATCTTGGCTAATTCGAAAGTTATTCGAGAAAAACTCTCTCCATATCTAGCGCCGCCATTTTGACTTTTTCGACCCCTGTGACGTCATCTTTGACCTGACCTGAAAATGACCTTTGTAAAAATTGTAGACCTTGTCCGTGCGTATCCGATGCCGTTTACCGGTTGTCGCTATCTTGCTTCGTTCTCGAGATCTCAGGAGGGGGGGGGGGCGGTCATCCGCCCCCCCGTCGGTGCGAAGTTGGCGCAGACCCCCGTCGGTGCGCGGGTTAACTTATTAACCTAACTTACTCATTTATATGCCACGCACTTTTTGCCTATATCTTTCACCTACGCAAAATATAGGTACCTAAGCATAAATGTGAATAACTAAATTCAGTTAGGTTTAGGTATGGGCGCAAAATGACCTTGCAGTCGGCGCGCCCTTTACCCCCAACAAACAAACAACAATCTCAGTTAGGGTCTAAATTCTAAAACTTATTGAAAAAGAAAAATCGACTAGCTGACATTTTTCACATCGACTGTTATCTTCTCGGGTGGCTGGTGAAGCTCATGGACAACGTTTAGCCTAGAAAATCACCACTGCCGTGTTTTTTTTCTCTTGCTGAAACGAGCTTGGGTTTAAATTCATGGTATTTACATAAAAAGTTGGTATACATGTATGTTTCATTGTTTATAGAGCTTATGACGGATCATGTCTTTCCGTTTTGATCATTCGTAATTGTAGGGAGATACTTAAAGATCCTACATAGACGTGCAGATTATGTTTTTGAAGAAGACGAAAAGATCCTCATATCTGAGAGGAGATCCACGACCACCAAATTTGCATGGTAGCTTGTTGCCCACTCATAATGGAGCTAGAGCACTAAAACTGGCACCAAACGACTCGCGAGGACTGGAACCTACTTTCTTACTATCGTTTAAACTACTAAAGGTTAGGCGATGACCTTAGGTCGTTTACGAGTCAGGTCCAAAAACCACTTGCACTGCAGCTCTGGAATATGCGAACGGGAATAATTGCGATAAAAAAGCAGCATCATTCGGTAGTTCAAAGAGAAAGACCATTGTAGCTTTCACCGCAAACCACCAGTAGATATGTGACCTCGTGTGACCTGGGCAGCGTTGGTAACGCTCAGGAATTCAGCGCGCTAAAGGCCTCCGCCCGGATCCAGCCCGGGTTCGGGACGCCTCGGATCCACTTGGTTTGACCTGGACAGCGAGAAACGTTCACAATTTGATGTTCTGCCCAGGTCAGACGAGTTCACATTTGTATTTAGCAGCGGCTCGCGGCGAAAGTTACTACATAGTCTATATTGGCTACCGAATGATATGCTTTTGATCGCAGTTGCTCTTACATATTCATGTGTTCAACAACTGCTGTGCAAGTGTGTGTTTGTTTACCTAATCCTTAACTACGCCCTTTTGGGCTACATCACCTAAGGCCATTGCGTGACATATGAATTAAAAAGATAGTGGGAAAGTAGGTCCATTCCCAGCAGGTCGTTTGGTACCATTTTCGGAACTCTAGCTCCATTGGATGGGCCACAATCTGCTGTGCAAATTTATGGTCGTGATCTTTGTTGACCTCTGTAGCCCAAACGGCTGGGAGTGACAGCGATTGATATAGGTCACGTGTCCGACACCCAAGGGATGCATCGAGTCCAAGTTTCAAATGGATCTGGGGCGTCCCAACTGAGTGCGAGCTAAATCCGGGCTGAATATGGGCTGCCTTGGCGGACAGGGTCAGCGGCAAGTCGTTCAGACTCCACTCGCCCTCTGTCGTCTTCTGTCGGTGTCGGCATGCCTCCCGACGAGCTCACGAGCTCTTTGGTACGGAATACGGAGCGTAATCACCCAACAGGTGAGGCTATGGTACCTCTCCCCTCCCTCTCTTTACTCGACTCCTTCTTCTTTCTCTCTCCCTCTCTCTCTTTACTCTCTCTCTCTCTCTCTCTCTCTCTCTCTCTCTCTCTCTCTCTCTCTCTCTCTCTCTCTCTCTCTCTCCGCACCTCTTCTACAGACGTCCTTGCTCTGTCTGTTCCTCTGACGGAGGACTAGCCGGCCCGCTCCGGCCCTCGCCGCTCTGTATCCAGACCAGGGCGTTGCCGTGTCTGTGATGAACGCCCCACCGCCGGCCGGCCGGCCTTGCCCCAGGCTCGGCCCGGCTCGCTGCCGGGTACGTCGGCCGTCGCCCCGAGCACACAGTCGGCACGTCTCGGCCACACTGGAGCACTGGTGCGCAGACCGAGACACGCGGCACGCGCGTGAACGGCGGGCCGTGAGCCCGCCGCCGCCGGCAGTGGCGCTGCTGAGTGGCCCTGCAGATAACCGTCAGATGGCGGACGGGACGGGTCAGAGGGACCGCTGCAAATGAAAGACGGGAGAGGCGCTGCGGATAGGGGACGTGGGGAAAGGGGTCCCCTCATGCAGATAGTGAATAGGATTAGTGGCCACTTGAAACTTGCAAAACGTCCCCCAAGTAAGCCCCACGCCCTGCCACTGACCGCTGACCACTGACCGCTGACCACTGACCGAAACCTCGCCGCCACGTCCCACGGTCAGGCTAGTATCTACCACAAACGCCGTCACAGCAACCGGCTTGGGAAAGTTTATTTACACCAAGGAACAAAGTGGACTAGATATTTGTATAAGCAACAATGATATAATAACTGCATAATTCGTACACATGGTCATCAAAGGCTAGGACGAACCACAAGACACACGCACGCACAGTGGACTGGACTGGACCTGGCGCACCGGCTGCGGGCCGGAGTCCGAGGTGGGGCCGGGGCGGGGGCGCGGACGCATTCCGCCGCCGCCGGCCGACCCACTCGCACCAACCATGTGAAAAATACCGGAACACACGCGCGCCTGTGTTTAACACATACAAATGCTTTTCTGTTTTACCCAGAAATCATGAACAGCTACGGACAGCTACGAACGAATGGAATTCGCTAGCCCGACCGCCGGTCCAGACGGGCCAACGGTGACGTCATATGCAGTGTCGGGTCGTGACGTCACCGTCGTCTGTCGGTTGGCCGGGACGGCGCCAGTCAGCCAGCCGAGATGGCGCTATGTACAGGGGCGTAGCTGATAGAAAACCGACTTCCAACGAATCGCCGACAACAGACGACATGGACAATAAGTCAAAACACGTCGAAACGCTGATGTCGCCGCACACCTAGCTTGGTCTGAGACGCCGCCACGCCGGGGAAGGAGCGCCGGTGGAACTGGAGGAGAACCAAACGGCGGACGATGGGCGCCCGTAGGGGAAAGGACATGAGCCCTGTGTCCTTTCTCCTAGTTGATGCGCCATCGCCCAAGATCATTCACCTTTGTACTCTGCACTAGAGATTCTCGTCAACTGAACAACTCAGCGAGCCTGCCCGAGCCGGGGTGGGCGCGGCGGCCGGCGGCCGGCGGAGCGGGTTCGCCGGCCGGCGCGCCGCCGCTGTGCGCACCGCGTGTGCGTGGATGGAGGGGCAGGTGAGGTCGGCACCGTCACCGCAGTGAAGGTGCAGAGCGGCAGCGAAAAGTGAGGTAAGTTGCACGGGTGAAAATGGCCGCAGCGAGGCGTGAAAATGGCGCTAAGCTCACGAAGAACACCGCCAGGCTGCTTGTGCGCTAAATAAAACACAAAAGGAAAGTAGTTTGGTCCTGCAGGTATCTAAAGGGTGACCTAGCAAAAATGAGTAATGGTTTATAAAATGGTAACGTCGATAGGATAACACGAATAAAAAGTACCTGTTAAAAAGGTAGTAAAAAGTAGACTACAGTTATGAACATAGACAGCGTTTTGACTGATTTTATCATTTGACTATTTTTGCGCAAAACGCACAACTTTAAAAGCCCTGATAGTTTGGCACAAGCATTTCACATCGCTGACCGCCACACCAGCGCGCGGCACAGATGTCACCTGTGTGCCTGTGCCTCTCTCTCTCTCTCTCTCTCTCTCTCTCTCTCTCTCTCTCTCTCTCTCTCTCTCTTTCTCTCTCTCATTCACACACTCGCGGCCCAATCACGCCCGTTCTGCAGCCCACGGCGAGGCGCGGTCCGCTCAGAAGAGACGTTGGTTACCCGGCGTCTTGGCACAACACCAACAATAATGGACTACAAGCTCCCACAGATAATGATTAAAGATGGACTCTGGATAGAAACCCTAGGTCAGCTCGCGCACATTGGGCGCCCTACGGCGCTGCGACTCTGCGACAGTACAAAACCCGGCTGACGATAAACCAGTGCTGGCCCACTAGACGCGCACGCAGGCGGGGCGCGCGGCCGACCGGCCGGCCGGCCCTGCCGGGGTGTCTGTCAACGGGCGCTCGCGAGCTGGTCCCACTCTGAGGTAATCTTTCAGCGCAAAGTGCATTCACTCTAGATGTCTAAACTCCCTGGTCTCGCGCGCGCGAGGACCCCCTCTAGGTCGGTGGTAGCTGAAGATAAGCGTAGTCTTGGCTGTTGGTCGACAGGTGCGCGCCCGGCGGGCCCAACGCGGCTCACTTGCTGCGGATGAAGCGGAGCAGGCCGCTGGCGCGCGATGTGGAGGGAGGTGCCATCAGCATGGGCACCTGGTTCTTGTGGGTGATCTGGATCTGTCGGAGGAACGGAGGAGGACGCCTGTCAGACGGGGAAGTCGTCGGTCACGGCTCCGTCAGAGGCGGGCGGTAAACGGGTCGCGGTGACGGCCGGAGGCCTGTCCTTCCTACTCCGTGATCATTCCTCCCTTAGAATAGGCATGATGCTTGCAGTCGAAACGCAACGTGTATATTCCAAAAGGAAAATCTTAGACCGCTGTCTAATTTTAGGCATAACTATATCAAGGACGACCTTGTTGAGCATCACTTCTGACGAGCAATCAGTATTCGGTCTAGCACACTAATGCACTTGATATGGTCAGTGTGACGTCACCGACTAGCCTACATATGGTCAATGTGACGTCATCGCGTAGCCTACATATTGTGTCAGTGACGTATCTTTCTACTACAGACTTCACCTCCTCGAAGGATTACAAAACAATGCCTAGCAATTACAGGAAGATGACCTGGCTGCCGCACTTTTCCACCGGCTCAATGAATGTAAAAGTTGGCAAGGTCGGCGCTGTCGAGCGTGTCAAAAACCGGTCGGCCGTGCAGAAGCCACTTGAGACCAGAGTGGCTAGTTTTTGCACTCGTGTAAAACAGTGGCTGGCGGTGGAGCGTACTATACAAGGCACGCCGACAGGATTGTGCAGATTGCACGAACTAAACGGGCGGCATAGTATGCAGTTTGTACGTAAAAATAGGACAAATGATGGACAAAAACGCCGAGAGGTTCTATGACGAAGGCTCGCTAATTGGCGTTTGATGCTCCAGTACATTTCACAAGTTGAACATCATTGAAATTCAGTACGTTTTAAATTACCCTAAAAAGCAATAACTCAAGAAAGAGTTACTGTGCTGGAACTGTGCAAGAAATTAAACAGAGGCATCTCACGAGTCGATTCAAACCCACATAATTTGCTATCTGCCTCTGTCAATTCCATTCACTTTATTCAGCCAAGGGCATTACCGGTGACCTGTTGGAGTCAGTAGGTACGCTCCCAGCGCCGGGTACCAGGGTGTCGGGCTGGCTCACCGTGCACGGCGGCTGCATCCACGGCTCGCCGTCGATCTGCATCGGGAAGCGTTTGCGCGTGCGTACCACCACCGACGAGCACTGGGCCAGCCGGCGGCCGGAGGCACGCAGACCCGTCTTCACCTGACCCATGTGCAGGCAGTTCTCCAGACCAATCACCTCGATCATTTTGTCGCCGATGTCTGCGCACAGGCGAACGCAAGTTCAGGTTCAGAGAACATCGTCAGCCAAGGCAGCTCGTTACTACGAGCAGTGATATTCATTACGTGAAGATATATCTAACAAGATCGGATTATCTCTTATCGTGAAAATAACAATCAAATTCAAAGCAAACCTTTTTTCGTTTTCGCAAGAGAACACCTCCGACTAACCGCACCTTGTATGGCAGAGTTGAGATCGAGCGAGTTGAACGAGTTGCTGCTGAGTTCGCGGTCACGGTCTTGCTTTTTCCGCTTCTTGGACTTCTTTTTGCCCTGGTCACCCCAGAGGTTGGAGCCGCCGTGAGTGTATGGAATGTTGAGCAGGAGGATGCCCTGCAGCGACGGTCCGTTCGCCAGGTCCAGCGACACGCCGTCACACTGTCGGCGACAGACGGGAACGAGAGTAACACACTGTCGGCGACAGAAGGGAACGAGAGTAACACACTGTCGGCGACAGGAGGGAGTGTGAGAAACACACTGTCGGCGACAGAAGGGAGTGTGAGGAACACACTGTCGGCGACAGGAGGGAGTGTGAGGAAACGCTGCAGTGTCGGCGACAGGGTTGCAAGGTATCAAGAACACCGAGGTGTCGCGACAGGACGGGGGTGAAAATCCATACACTAGAGAGAAGTCTTACTACGAGGAAACTCAGAGAAAGGGACGGTCGTAAGACTTTGAATGGTAGTGTGAAAATAAAAGTGAAATAGAATGGTACTTGTCGATTAGTGGGAGAGTGCAATGATGTCATATGAAGGGAACTGGCGTCTTGTCTGGAAAGTGGGTCAGATAATTGACAACTGACGTAATTTCTAATTTTCCTATCGAGTCAGATTATTAGACAGAGCACAATAGCCAAAAGTTTGTTCTTACCATGATATCGATTTCTTCATGAAGGTTCTTGCACGACGCCGTGAACGTTTCTGATGTGGCGAACTCGAAGTACCAGAGCTTGTTTTTTACCCGTGAATTGAACTTTTCTGGATTCTTTTCTCGCTCTAGATGAAATTTGACGCATATTGCTGCATCCTGAAACCAAGGTGGAACATTTCCTAACGGTACTTTGGAGGTACAACCCGGGCTCGCAGCCTGCCAAACCAAGCGAAGTTGGTTACGTTATCGCCTCGGATGGCCCAGCCAATCAGAGACCAACGCAATTCGTCTAGCACGGGCAAACACTGAGAATCAAGGCCAGATCGATAAGACACCAGTAAACTGTCCAAATTTGAGGCTTGATTGTTTTAAACACCGGAAGGTCACGCCCAGGTCTGGCTGGTCTGGCATCATTGTAGAAATGAATGGAGATGACGTAACACACGTCACGAACTTAACTACCCAGACAAGGCCACCGGCAGTGTCACCGGTAATGACTACATGCGGGGTCTCTCTCTCTCTCTCTCTCTCTCTCTCTCTCTCTCTCTCTCTCTCTCTCTCTCTTCAGTCGTGAATGTCGATTAGATGACCCCGTGAGCATCGCGCGATCCCTCCCGACATGCCCCGCCCACCCTTTTAGCCCCGCAGTGGCAGTTACCTTGACGCTATGAGATGCGTCATTTTCGGTAACGAATCGAGAGCGTCGGTAATCACGTATGCCAGGCGGGGAGGCAGCGCAGCCTTGACCGCTAGCCGGTAGCAGTAGGGCTATACACTACCGCGATTACATCTCAATGGGAGGTCGGCGGCTGGCGAAATCCCGGCTCTAATTGCCCTGACGGGGGCGGAGGAGCGCGTCCGGCGGGGCGGCGCCGCGCGGCGCGCTCGGTCGCTCACCACGCCTATGGAGAAGTAGTTGTTGATGATGTTGTAGGGAATGGGCTCGCCGGGCGGGTCGTCCTCCTGCATGCGGCTGTCGGACACCTCGATCCTCCAGCGGTCCATCATCACCGTGGAAGCCAGCTCGATTTTCTGCCGTCACACCGTCACATATTGTCACACATCGTCAGATACCGCCAAATACCGTCACAGCGTCATATATCGTCACACCGTCATATACCGTCACATACCGTCACAGAGTCACATACCGCCACGTAGCGTCACAGCGTCATACCTATATCACAGCGTCACATACCGTCACAGCATCACGACACATACTCTCACCTACCGCCACAGCATTATATACCGTCACATACCAACACATGCCGTCACGACGACACATGCAGCGACACACACCGTCACAGTGTCACATACCACGCCATAGGCATCGCCACTGCATCGTCTCGGTTAGCAGATATCGTGCTGACAGCGTTGAAGTCAATGTCCCATCGCCACGACCGGAGAATGCAGCGGGGAGTAGAAACGTAACACCATGAGTCTGAACGGTAACTGCAATGACTCACAGCAGAGTAACCAGAACTCTTCACCCGAGAAATGAACGCCGAATAACTCAGCGGTCAAAACTTGCTTGGAATGAAATTTTAGCGCAATTTAGCGCAATATTTACAGATTGCATTAAGTTATATATAAATGTGTCTTACGAGTATAGTTGTATGATATCGGACACTGGTAAATGGCACTTAGGTACTATGTAAATAGGATTCACTAAATGCAAATTTTAGTTTAATAACGGACACTAAATTTCCCACTCCAAGCTTAATGTAAATGTGTGATACGTGACATTTCACTGGCAGTTCTTACTATAAAAAGCACTTGTCTCGCTTATAAAGTATTCAGGAAACACGCCGACCGTACAAAGGATTATACCGTAAACGGGGGTGACTTTGCCATGTTTTCAACTTTAGACGCTTGTATTCTTCACACTTCTTAACTTGTTGGGATGACTCTATGTTCAAAACACGGATGAAGGTTAACTAGCTCTTTTGGTTTTGCTATTATCGTATTTATATCTTGCCAAAAAATATAATTTTTAAAGAAAATGAGTCGTGGCAAAGTTAAACTGAAAAAGGGGTGACTTTGCCACTATGTCAAAAAATGGTTTTTTAACGCTTGCAAATAATTTCTAAGCATTTTTGTTCCATTGTATGGGGGAGGGCAACCATCTTTAATTGTTTAATAGGAAAAAAATGAAGCAATTCAAAGTTTTTTGCTCTTAAATGATGTACAAAAAAGGAGAGATACATTACTTTTATAATACATTATATTTGTTGAAAATTATTGACATTGATAGTAAATAGAAACTGAAAAATGGTTCAGAATAGAAAAATAAGAAAAATATGATTGTATCGGTACTCTAGGACCGTGCCACATTCCTCCAGCGGCATTGAGAGGAACAGAAAGAAGATGTTCTTGCGGCAACTTACCGGCACCCTTATTATCAGCGTTTTGATCTATAAAATGATACCGATTTCTTCAGCTAGTCTTACTGGCAAACTCAGGAGTTGTAGATGATCATGACTGTGCTGAAAAGTTGGGTCCAGCTTCATTCATTTTTTGAGTTTGGTAATTTTTGCCTTTCTATACTCCCACTGTGCATTCCTGTGCTAATTGTAAACGTATAAACTCTCACTTTTTTAAAAACCAGTTTGGATGTCAAAATGATGCTACATTAAAAATTATTTTGAATTGCATCGGATAAGTATTCAATTTTTGCATAAATAACATGGTGGCAAAGTCACCCCATGTGGCCTGCTATTCAGCTGGAAAAATCGCCACCAAAAATTTTAGCTAAATGAAGTGACAAATGCCAGTTTTGTTGGATATGCTAACTTAACAGCCTTGTCATGATCAACCATACCAAGCTTCAGCATCGCAGGTGGTCTAAGACATGGTTAGATAATAAAAAGTTTGGAGCTCTTCAAATTTGACCATTTCAATGACTCTAATAAAATGGAGCCCAGTTAGGTATTTAGTGGTAACTTACATACCTATCAGTGTTAGTTATATTGGGAGGCCCATCAATTACCTTTCATTTGTGCATAAAACATCACTACATTCCTCGTAAAATATCATGGGAGATCTCCCTAAAGCATTTTTCGAGAAGCATGGCAAAGTCACCCGGCGAGGCAGTCACCCCCGTTTACGGTACCATGTTTCCAATCAGACAGCGAACCAAGCCCACCCGCGTCCCAGACCTCTGAGAACAAAACCAGCACGCGTCTGGCCTTCTGCTACACTCGAACACGACGTGTAGCATTGTGTCACATTCGCTCACCTAGTCACGACCAGTAAGCGATAGCATCTAGTGCCCGTTGGTCATGCATGAATGAGACAGTGGGCTGCTGAGGCCTCGCAACACATCCGTCCGCGGTAGCTTTTATGACGGCCATCTAGTGAGAGTATCGGCACGGAGTTGGGCCTGGAAAGGTCGACGAGGACATGCTTCCCCGTCGCCGTATTGTTAGATTCCAATTACCGACTCGATTGTGTCCATGAGACGTCATGCCATTGTGACGACTCGTCCTTTTAATTGTGAACGCAGTTCGGCAATGACAATATTGGCTACATGTGTCCTCTGTACACAAGACAACATCTGAGTGTTGTGAAACAAAAGCATACACAACTATACAAAAGCACAAATGGAATGTACGAGTAGATCGAATGTCCTCGCATTGTTGATCATGAAAAATGAATGTGATTTCCTCTGCGTGAAATAGGCAATCCTGGAAAATATTAGTACCTTACGTGTATTGCTAAGCTTGGAACACGTCGTGCGCCTCTTTCTTCTTTCTCTCTCTCTCCTTTTCTCGCCTTCTCTTTCTCACCCCCTCTCTCTCTCTCTCTCTCTCTCTCTCTCTCTCTCTCTCTCCAAAATGACATATCATCCGTTCCTCCCCTCTATCACACTTTTTTCTTTCTCTTTTTCACTTATCTCGTGTCTATCCTCCCCATCTCTGCCATCTTCAGACGGCCCTCCTGACGGCGTTTCTCGGGATGGCCGAGGCGGGAGGGGAGGGGCGGGGCGGGAGGCGAGGGGAGGAGAGATGGCACGCAGGGGCGTCTCCCCAACTGACATCAGATCAGCATCGGACCTCGCCAGTAGCTCCGACACAAGGCGCGGCGTCCAGCCTTGACCCAGATGGCTGCCACCTCCTCCGGCGGCGGCGGGACGCCAATGGACGATCCGGCGCCGCCCGCCACTCCGGAACAGACGCTCCGGGATCGCTTTATGGGCCCAGCGACAGCGGCGCGGCGGCCTCGGCGCTATCGGGATATCGGCTGCTCACGGGACCCGGCCAGGTGCCAGCCGGTGGACAGGAAACTCGGCGGATGGGCGGGGACGGGGGCGGGGCCAGCGCTCCGGAGCCGACCGGAAGTCATGAGACGTTAACTCTCCCCAGATACTTCCAGGAGGACGGACAAGGCCGGGCGGTGAGCGGCTCCGTGTCGCTGGGTCAGCTGTCGATCTGATTACTGCCGGAGAGTGGCGGGTGATACTATCAGAACCAGTCGACCAGTTATATGGCATTGATTTCGCCGCCTAGAATATCGAAGCCGTCAAATGAACAAAGGGGTTACTCCAGAAAGTTGAATTCAGAAGAGCAAGCGAGCCGCAATTCCAATCTGATAACCAAAGGTTGGCAAATGGCGTCTTCAACATTTCTCAACCTTTTACCTGGATATGCCAAAATCATTTGGCTATAACTAAGAATAAAGTAGCGAATGGTTAGGGATGCAATACAGATTAGTCTAGCATGAGCATTGTGGTCATAAGAATGCGAGGCCGAGTTCCATTAAATTTCATATCGGGAATCATGTGTATGTAATGGTTTTTGAATGCATATACATGTTTATATGTTTATGTTTATGTACACATGTTCCGGCTTCCGTGAATTAGTGGGTCAAATTTCCGCGGCTACTGTTCTTCCAGACGACATGCAGAGCGAGGACGTGTCCGATGTAAGTACTAAGGTGAACATAGGAGCACGAGCGGGCTCCCGGACTGTTAGTGCTGCACCTGAGCTCAAATCGCCCCCGGCCCCGGTTCGTGAGTCAATCCGCTGCATCCGCCGCCCCTGTCCCGACCTCCCGCTGTCCGCACCCTCCACTCGTGCTGTCCACCGTCCCTTTCCCCGGCATCACCTGTCCACCCAGTTCGCCCCCAGGGCCATCACGAATGTCCCCGTTCGTGCGACGCCCGTGTCCCCTCGCTACCGTTAGCGGGCTCACTACCAGCTGACCACCGGCCGCTGCCGCCACCGGGGAGCCCCCCGACCCAGCCACACCGCGACCTCCGCGGCACCTGCCAAGGCCTCCTCTGGTGGCCGACTAACGCTACGGGCACCACTCACAACCGGTGCGGCCTATTGGAACCAGATTGGTGCGGTCAACATGCCGTGTGCATGCAACAGGACCATATCAGGAATCAACTCTATAAAAATAAACCTCATCTAGGTTAGGCCACTCAGTGACGTATAACGAAAGCACGTGGCGCGCCGACGTTCAGCATTAAGTGTTATTTGAATGATATCAGTGACCCAAATTCAGCGCCATTGTTTCGCGACACCCACACACCAGACTGCGACATATCAATTTGTGATTTCCTTCAGTCTGCTTAGAATTGACTCTTCCCGGCTTTGTACCGTGGTATGTGGTAAGTTCTTATCAGCTACACGATTCCGCGTGTTATCCATCTAATCGGCGATCACCGTCATCACGCAGCGCCTCGCAGTGCGGCCGGGCCGGTCGACTGACCTTGAGTATTTTGTAGATGGACTCGCCCTCGTAGCCGCCGCCCCAGCGCAGACAGCGCGCCAGGTCGTTGCCCGTGCCCAGCGGAATGATGCCCACGCACGGCGGGTGCGCCAGCTGCACCTTGTCTGTCGGAGACACAGCACAACTGTGACAGACAGATGCACAACTGTGACAGACACAGCACAACTGTGACAGACAGATGCACAACTGTGACAGACGGATGCACAACTGTGACAGACAGATGCACAACTGTGACAGACAGATGCACAACTGTGACAGACAGATGCACAACTGTGACAGACGGATGCACAACTGTGACAGACAGATGCACAACTGTGACAGACAGATGCACAACTGTGACAGACAGATGCATGACAGCAAGGTGGGTCAGCCGAAAGATGCGGGCAGACGGTCGGGCTGCAATGGTAGAATAAGATAGAGCTACATAGAAGTAAACAGGGAATTAGCAGCACAGACCAGAAAGGGTCCCGGAGTTTCACAGACACATACGAGTCGAGCTACACTGAGAGGCTGCAGCTCAGAATCGGGGACCATCAGGCTCCTCTGTAACATCGTGACACTAGTCTCTCCGACTAATAATGCAAATCGAAAAGAAAATCGGTTACAATTATGGTGGAATGTGAACTTGTTCAGATTAGAAAGGGGCCAATTGATCCCCTCTGCTGATTTGTAGCGCGTTTAACGAGCAGCACGGTAGAAAAATGACCCCAAAACGGGGCGGAGTGCCCCGACCAGCCGGCAGTTTCATCAGCCAAAACTGATGGGATTGCTCCACTGGCAGGACGGTCAGGCAGAGAACAGTCATCTGGAGACGACAAACGACAGGGGACAGCCACACAAAACGGCCGCTTTTCGTCACCACGATTTAGCGATGACCCAATGGCGTAACACGGGACTGATGTCAGTCGAAAAAAGGAGCTCCACGATGGAGCGTAATCTCAGCATGGCAAAAATCAGCGAAAAAAGACGGACGCGCGGACGGCTGCGGACGAACGCTCCAGAAACCATCGCTCCATTCCTGATCGGCGCGAGCAGCGCGGCGAGTTGCGTCACAGTCGCTGTCTGAAAACGTACCCGTCTGAGTGATGGGGCGACCGCCGGAGCGATCTGACCCTAAACGATCACCGCAGGAGACGAACGGGGACGACCAGCGACGTCTCCGGGCGGGGCGGGACACGGAGCGGCCACGGGGCGGGGTGGGGTGCGCCCGGGCGCGCTGGGTGATCTGGGGTGGCTGGGGTGCTCTGGGGTCCGCGGGGGTGCGCCGAAGTGCTCTGGGGTGCGGTTGGGTGCTCTGTGATTCTCTAGTGGGATTGTGATTCTCTAGTGTGATTCTCTTTTCGGCTCTGAAGCAGAACCGACCCAGTTACAGTGGCGAGCCGAAGAGGGGAGGGGAGCCAAGCTGAATAGCCTTCAGTCTGGGTGCCGGGGAGGGAGGGAGAAGGGGCGAGTAATGGGTGACAAGCTGCAGCGTGTCGCCAGTGGAGCAGCTGCGGGGGCGGAACGGGCGCCCATTTGAACTGAGGGGCGGGATCAGATGCGATATTGGACCGGTGTGCCAGCTGAGGTCACCCCAAGAGAGGACTGACAGACGGGGACGTACCCATCGAGTCCAAGATCCAGCCGATGGTGCCGTCGCCGCCGCAGCAGATGACTCGCAGGTCAGGCACGTCCTTGAAGAGCTGCAGGCCCTGCATCGGTCCGCCCTTGGTCAGGTTGTACACCTGGCGTGGGTTCAGCAGGTACTGCAACAGACGGTTAGAAAGGGGCGGTTAGCGGTGCGGTGGGTGCAATCACCTGAGGGAATGGACGTGGAGAGGTGTAATCACCTGACGGGATGGACGTGGAGAGGTATAATCACCTGAGGGGATGGACGTGAAGAATAATAACGTAGGAAAAGGGCAGAAGGTGGTACGCTATAAATGCCAAGTAGGCAAGCACAATGATGTCCTAGTGGACGGAAATATGGAAAGACCAGATGATCTTATCACACAACGCTAGGAACTGGTTATAACATGCTGTAACCTAATGGCCAGCAAAACACTAATTTACTGTTCATCTATTATCATTAATAAATTCCCAAGCCCCAAACTACAGAAACTATGCCACCAAAGCTTTGAAGCAGAGCACTGAGCATGACACACGCTGATTCTGAAATGCGTTCGTGACTTGCGTAGCATTTGCATGGAGGGATGAACTGGCGACACTTGAATGATAAAAGAGCGGTCCGAATATCTCATTCACCATCCACTGCATCCATGAAAGTTAAAAAAAACGATGAGCTCATGTCAGAGTAGACTCAAAACTTCCATAGTTATTTGGTAGCATACGCTGCGCAAGAAAATCAACCTACGCTAACCACTTTGTTAACAATAGATTTTACTAGGGTTACCCGCGTGCTTCTTCGCGTGCTCCGCAACGCGAAGAAGGGTTGTTTTTGACCCGTGGGTATTGGATTGGTCTGTGTCGATTTGATTGGTATCCATTTCGTTCGATTGCTTTTTCACGGCCAAGCATTTTGTAATAAAACAACGATACATCGCATCGAGGTGCCCGTGTCGTATTATCATGCGTTCTGCTTAAGAATGATTCGAAAACTGGCGTGAAGTCTTTTGAGGGCCATCGATGAATTTCGCTAAAAATGACAATGTAATGCTTTGGAGCATTAACATTTTAACAATACTGTTGCTCATCCTGCAAAAGTGAAGACTGAACCTTGGACAGAATTGAATGCTCTTTCCAACGGTGCCATTTTTAACTGCCGAAGATATCAGATTATGGAGTAAAACCATTTTGATAAACAAAGTGGCACAAAATTGACAAACACCATTTTCTCCCGTGATTCGTATCCACCTTGAATTGGATCAATCAGCTTTTCACAATTTTTATATGATAGGCGGTACATTTCTCTTGCCAACAGGCGTTGTTCCAACTCGCTCTGTTAAACGGTCACCTAATAATAAAATCAATTCCAAAATCCGCCCAAAACCGCAATTTTTCAACAAAAGTGCCCTCCCCGGTGCACGTGGCGCGTGCTATCCTCTATATCGCACACCATTCAATTGCCCATTCAATTATCTACACGATGCTGTTTTCCCCGTGCCGGTCGGACCCCTGGTCACCAAGATATTGCACCGGGACTGGACCCGTGTCGGCCAAAATTAGCCGTTTTCGCCCGATTTCGCACGCCGATTTATACATGTAAAGTCTATGACGCGAATTTGCACTTTTTGGACACGCGCCAAGCGCTCACTTACGACCCGATCGAGCTGAGACCCCTCAAAGGCACGTCGCGCATCTTTGATCTATAAGTTGTGCAAATTTCACCGGGCTAGGTGCAACGGTCTGGCCTGTAGTCCACGCAAAGCACCAAGTCGGGACCTCGCTAATGGACAGACGCACCCTCCTCAAATAGTAAGATAGATTTAATTTGATGACTTTAGTTATCAACACCACAATGATGATATGAAATAGGTATGAAGCATCCACCATACCAGATACTTTCAGCTTCGTCCAGAAAATATGTTCCGACCTATTAGAGCTATTGGACGCCAGACACAGAAACAAAAGGAGCTGTACCACTGGCGGCAGGCAAGGGTTAAAGGACACAAATCCCTTCAACATTTCTACATACGTGCTTAACAAATCAAACATCTACGAACATCTGAAACATGTTGTAGAATCTCTTTTTGAATATCTAAGTCACCATGTATGATATGATTATATGGTGTTGGTTGGGCGGGCCGGTTTTTGCGCAGCAGCCTGCGCAGTGCCGGGGGCTGTCTGTCTATCTGCGGTGAGCAGTGTTGTAACTGGCGATAGCCGAGCCACGGCGGCGGCATCCCTGACCCAAAGGCCGACCCGACCGCCAAGGTCGTCCTGCTACAACAATACGGTCACGTCTGGCCGCCTGTCGCCGCCGATATGTCCACTGGAGGGTCGCGGTCGGCGTCTGACACCGGGCCGACACGGGAGAGGCTAGCGGTCAGCGGTCAGCGGTCAGCGGTCAGCGGTCAGCGGTCAGCGGTCAGCGGTCCGGTCAGCAGCGGGCTGCCGCGAGCTCCCACAGCTGAGCCCAGGCGGCCCGCAGCCCGCGACTCGAGCTCCCACAGCCGAGCCAGGCAGCTGGTACGTGGGAAGGACCGCCGGCGGCCGGGGCGGCGGCGGCAGACACCGGCCCGGCCTTGCCGCCATTGACGCGCTGCAGCCTGCAGGCACTGCGGCCGGCCGGCCACGCCAGGGCACGGCCCGCACCCCGCCGGGCGCGCCGCGACCGCGCTCTGTCAGCCAAGGTCGGGTCGGGGGCCCCGCTGACCCGCGGCCAGCTCAGCTCGGCGCTGATGTAACATCTCGCGGGTCGCCGCCAGCCACCAGCCGCCGTTCATCGGTCTCGCCGCCGCGGCCCACTGTCACGCCCATCTCGGCCACTTATCTGGGCTATTAGTGGGTGATAAACGCTCATCGGCGGAGGGGCGGCTCCGGAGGGTCCGTCCAGCGCGCGGCCACCCGTGAGTCACCGTCCCGTGACACAGCGCCAGCGGCGCGTGCAGACGGCACGGGATCACGACATGTTACGGCATCGCCGCTCGGCTGACTGCAGTACGTGGGATAATCCAAAAATAGCATGGAGAAAAGGCATACACTCCCGGGAGCGAAAGTTCAATGAAACCCACAGAGTCAATCATCATCATCATCATTTATTTCGTTTGGAAGCTCCATGCACTCACGGCTTTTCAGTCCAAGTGTCATACAGTAAATAAGTAGGCTAGGCACATATATAAAGCTAAAATAAACACTTAAGCTAAAAGTAAACCATGAAAAGCATGGGACTTAAAAAGTAAAATGCATATCGGTACAAATGACCGAAAGCTACGCGCACAGTGACTAGTCACCATTGAGTAATAGTCGACAACGCCTGCGACAAGTGGCCGACGTGCGTGACGACCGAATGTCTGCTGGCAGCGAGTTCCAAACGTCACAGGCGCGGTAATAAAAGAACTTGCGAGCATGTTCGGTGCGGACCCTCGGCAGTTCGAGCTGCATATTATCAGTGGCTCGAGTCTGTCTGCTCGACACGTCGCTGCGTTGTACAAACCGCTCAGAGAGGCACTTCGGTGCATGAACATTATTCAACAAGTAATGCACAGTACTGCAGTCATTCTCCGCCACCAGCCTGTCTATATGGGGCCAGCATAGCTCTGCCAACAGAGGCGTCACATGAGCCGAGCGTCGGACCCCCATGACGACCTGTGCACAGTGGTTTATCACCTTCTGAATACGGTGTCGCTGCACGACGCCACATCCCGACCACACAGACATACAGTATCGGATGTGGGGGAAAATTAACATCTCCACGATCATCTGCTTCACGTTTCGCGGCAGGCCGCGAGCGGATCTGGACAGTCCCCCTAGTGTGGCATAGCATCGGCGGATGACCGCGGTCACATGCGATTCAAAAGTCAGTCCGGAGTCGAACGAGGTTCACCCGAAATTGAATCGGAACTTTATTGTAAGGCGATCGATTCTTCCGTAGACCGTTATTGGAGCTATATGATCTAAGCATAAACTCATCAAAGAATGAAAAACTGATGACAAGTTGCACCGACGCCTGATATGTCCTGAACTATGTAGTTACGCCGTCACCACAAATGAAATTTCAGCACGAATAAAAAATGTGTGAATGTGTGTGCAATCGTTTGGCATGTAGCCACGACTAATGATTCTCAGAGCGCAGGGAAATCTTCACATCGGTTGACAGCGCCATTCCGATGAAGGGCTATCGGAGCCGTTCGCCGCGCGCCCATTGTCTGGCGGCCGTCTGACCGGCTGACGAGTTGAGTCATCGTTCCGTCACTGGCCGGACGGTGGGCGGGCCGGGCGCAGCCGGCCGGCACCGCTGCGCGCCGGCACGAGCCGGCCGTTTCCTTGCCGACAGCGAGTCCTTGTCCATCGCTCGGAGCCGGACGGTCGGACGCCGCCCGGCGCGCCGCTCAGTCAAGGCTGCCGGCCGCGCAGCAGCAGCAGCCCCTTCCGTCCTTCTGGCCCGCTCGACCTTCCGTCCAGAGTCTGGAGAGCAGCGGCGACCCCTGCCTCTCCGTTCAGAGCGCGGGCCGATCGCCCCACCCCGTCAGCAGCCGGTGACCCAGCCGGCGGGCAGGGGCGGACCATGGCCCAGCTGCAGCCGAGGATGACCCGTCGGACCCCTCCCTGACCTGGCGAAACTGGACCAGCCCTGCTGGCTGCCTGCCCTGGCCGTCCGTCGTGTCAGTGAGGCAACTGGGTGGGGGTGTCTGCTGCGTCACAGGTGGCCCGCCGGCACTGAGATTAGTCGCGCTGATAGTCGATCGTTCGGTCACTCAAAGGATTAGCCAGCAACCGACGATTAGGCAAGACGCTCTGCATATCATCATAAGTGCTCACTGAATACTCGATCTAATTAGGACAGCCAGATGAGCGGAGTGGTAGTGGGAGACATGGCTTAGCACGGGATAAAAATACGACACCTATATTTCATAACTGCCTAACGTTAGATCGACAGTGTTTGTTCTTGACCACTCAATCAGTCACTTTGAAATATCAGTTTAAGTGAAAGCCGCAATGGGTTTAAAAGATTGCGTTTAAGGTGTGAGAGCCAGGCCCCTTCCTCTGCGAGCTGCCTCTGCACGCCTCGGTCCTTATTCATAACAAATAACTGTGTGAGCTGAGGAGGTGTCGTTTACTGAAAACCCGAGTCCAGCCTGTGTGGCCCGTGGTTCACCACACCCGCTTAGTACACAAAACAAACAATGCTCATTCTTATGAGGCACTTTACATAGCGCTGAAGGAAATGTGGACGGTCAGCTTGTTTGTATCTGTTAGCACTTTGTTTTTCTGTACTTGAAGAGCCAATTGCCAAATGCATGGTCGAAAGACGTTGAATGAAAGGATTGCAAATTAGCAATGCAAAGTCAATAGCCATCAAGTACGAAACGCATCACAAACCATATCAATTTTGTTCAACTTCCTTATACCTAAATGTCACAATGTAGAACAATTGAGAATCAACGATTATTGTTTTGAACATGCTTATTGCTTACATGATTGTACAAGCTTACATGTGGTGTCTCACACCTTATATTTCAGAGCTTCCTTCATATCCAATTCTGAGTTTGCCTAAAGATATGCAACGGGAGATTCGAAAACAGATCAGGTTTGAAAGAGCGGTCAATGCAGTGATGAGCCTCAGGCTCGTCGTGGATTGGGTGATTAGTACAGGGTGGAAAGTAATTACGCGAACATGTATTTTCTTACAATTTCGCCTGTCAGTGGAGATTTTGCATGAGCGCGGGCTGTTATGGAACATGACTGGTCGTGTTTGTTGTCGCCTCATCTAACAAAAGTGACCTTACTTTGAAAAATGACTTGGAAGGTCTACAACACCTCTCGGCTTCGAGTGGTGCTGACGCCATACGCTGCTCAAGACCAAAATGGGCAAAGAGATCAATTTGAAGTTGCCAGGGAAAGCGTTTGTGATTATTTTGGCTGGATTGGTGCGGAAGGGACTCGGAACGGTCTCGGCACCAGCATTACTCAATTACACGTTTGGTTGAAGCATAATAAAACTTAAGAGGACTTAAAAAGCAAAGCCGTTGGCGGCAGTAAAACCTCGGCGAATTCAGGCGCCGAATGGGTGGTCACCATTTCCGCGACCAAACGACAACAGTCGACCCGAAAACAGGCGAAATGGTTTACTTTGGCCGGGTACCCCATCTAAGATATCACGATTCATACATAAATCCGTGAAAATTCGAAAATCAAGCCGTACAAACAATCGAGATGGCCAAAATTCATGAATTAACAGCAGGATTGTCAATTTAAGTTTTCTTAAGACCGCCAAACCTGAACAGAGGACAGGCAGCTGGCTTTGTGGTTGGGTGAGACATCTTCGAAGCCATTTCATCCGTCAAACCTGCAGAACAACGCGTTGGGGGCTGCTGATGCGTCCGACGTCCCGCCCGTCCCAACCTTCAAACATCCGGCAAAGGAACACACATCAGCGTGTTATGAGCGCCCGGATGGTGTCAGAATTGCATGTAGTGACCAACAAGGCCACAAAAAATAAAGTATACAACTAGTGGAACATCCTTCCAGACGAGTCTCTTTATCTAATCCATCAATGCACCAAAAGGGGCAAAATGATTGAGCGCACTTTTGTGCCCGACGCAAAGAAACTCTTCTTCATGATTGATAAAGTCCTTCCTCTCACGGCCAAAAAGACGCAAGACTGGTGCTTTGAGAACCCGTTCTTCTTCTGGGCATATAATGGTCAATCTGGGAATAGCCAAGACCTCAATTTGATCAAAAATATCCAGGCGACTCTTCAGGAGAGCGTCTAAGAGCTGCTAGTAGCCACTAACATCGATTGCCTCACCAGACAGCTCCAGGAGGCGTGGACTAAGCTTTAGCCAACAGTGCTTGACATGCTCATGTCAATTATGCCTGAACGCCTTTGTCAGTGTATCGCACATAAATAGGAATATATGAAAAGATGAAATTTTCATGTCACCGCCGCTTTTTCCATTGCTATAAGACGAAAAAGTATGTTCGCGTAATTACTTTCCACCCTGTAGGTACAGCACATGATCAGATCAGTAGCGGTCCTGTTACTGCTGGTGTGAGTCGGCAGTATCGGTCAGGGCCGCGGTGCAGCACTGGGTGTGGCCGGAGCACCGGACCGCACCCGACTATATAACGTCAGCAGCCACCTCTCATGGCACCAGTTCTCCCAGCAACTGTCGCACTCACAACATGAAGGCCGTGAGTTACCCAGACTGTGTGAAACCGATCTAACGTTATCCTAGTGCTTATTCTTGTTTGTAAGGATCTAAGATCTTGTAAGGAACTTGCTGGTATGTAGGATTCACTTGACAATACGCTTTGTGCCGTTCATAGGGTGAGTGCAGCGAAGCATTCAGAAACATAAACGTTTTCTTTCAGTTCATCATTGCCGCTCTGGCGCTGGTGGCCGCCGCCGACCGGCCGGCGTACCCGACCCCGGCCTACGGCCCCCGGCCCGCCTACCCGGCCCCGGCTCACGGCAGCTACAAGCCCATCGCCATCCTCGAGGAGGAGAGCGTCCACCCCGGAGATGGCACCTACAACTTCCACTTCAGCACCGAGAACGGCATCTACAGGTCAGTAGTTACTGGATATGCTTACATTTACAACTTGGTTGCCACGTTGCTCTGGTGTGGAATACCTGTTTCCATAACCAAAGTCACCGAGCTGGCCATGCAGTACTAAGGTTTTTCTCTACCGTACAGGTCTGAGAACGGCGTGCCTCTGCCCGGCTACGGCAAGAACGCCTACGGACAGCCCGAGGGCAGCTACCGCCAGGAGGGCTCCTGGAGCTACACCGACGGATACGGAAACCCCGTCAAGGTGACATTTGTCGCCGATGAGAACGGCTACCAGCCGTCCAGCGACATCCTGCCCACCCCGGTGCCCACCGAGTACCCGACCCCCGAGGTGGACCCCGCCTACGTCGAGCCTGCCTACGGCAGGCCCGCCTACCAGCCTGCCTACAACTAAGTCATCCACACCTCAATCGAGATGTGTCTCGTGTGTGCATTGTGGCCCCAGCCGATCGACAGCCGCCCACCTAAGTTTCGGTGAAACGGTTAGAGATCGTCTCGCTGTGCGAGCAACACCTCAGCCATAACTGGTGACAACTGAGCGTGAGTGGTGATCTTTGTATTTATTTGTGAGTGTTGAGTGTCCGAGTCAGTGAATACATGTGTACCTTATTCTTAGTGTACTGTATTATGTATACATCATATTTAGGTATTTTAATGATCCTTGAAACGATGAAATAATGAATGATGGAAGGGACAGAGTTAAAACTTCCATTTCGCTAACCAATAGCATCGGCGTTGCCCGGGGCTCATCGCTGCGCCCTTAATATACTCCATTTTTTCTTTTAACAATTTAGGCTTATGAAAATTCGGAGGACACACAAATTATTGTTAGCAGCAACAAATACAAAATATATGGGCGTCTCCGCACGGATAGATAGATAGATAATGTATTAGGATCCTCCACAAAGTGGATTTTATGGTATCCACGTCAATACATAAATGCAAAACACTTTTGACAGACATTGCACAGACAAACCAACGTCAGACGCCTATCTATCAAACATACAATGTTAAAATTGCACAGTAACTAAACTGCTAAACTGTAACTACTCTAAAAATGAACACCCTATAAAAGTGGAAATATAGAAGGCACTGAAACAGGTGCATGACATCAGCATACAAGCTGATGGTAAAATATATAAATGGCTACAAAATAGATAGAAATCCTTAAAGAAAATAAGAACCACTAAAATGCATACATGTAGGTAGATACTATATAGATAAAAAATAAAAGGCACGAGGACAGACCTATCACTTCAGAACACTGTTCCATGCAGCAACTGCTCTAAAAAGAAAACTGCGTCGCGCCACCTCTGTCTTGACGCGTGGCAACTGCAGCTGGCCACTCGCTGCTGCTCGGGTACCCTGGCCGGATATCTCAGAGCGATGCACGAGCTTCGCTCTCAGGATCTCCGATGCGTCTGACGCAGTGAGTAGTCGTTTTACAATCGAGATATCATGATCCTTCAGCATGTCATCCAGCTTTCCCCATCCGAGCTGCTGCAGCACCGGTGTAACATGTTCGCGGCGGCCGAGTCCAGTTACAATCCTAGCACCGAAGTTCACAGCCTTCTGGATCCGCTTCTTCTGCTCTACCGTGCAGCTACCCCAAACACTGATACAATAGCGCACATGTGGAAGGACTAGCGCTTCAACGAGCAGGCGCTTGGTATCCTCTGGTAGTCGGTGACGCATCCTGGCCAGGCCTATCAACACAGCGTAGCAGCGCTGCACAGCTGCTGATACATGTTTTTCCCACGTCAGATGCCGATCA